GAGCGAAAAACAAAGTATAGAAAAAAAATGTCGAGCGTACAAAAATGGCGAAGAGATATGTGGCAGGCAAAATTGAGCTTTAGACAAAATTAAACAAAGCTATTAAAAGACATGAAATTTTAAAAAAGTTGAATAACATAAAGAATAAATAATTGATCCTACACATTTGAATTAAGCTATGTTCAACTTTAATTGAAATTTAACAAGATGTAGAGTTCGCCACTGTTTTCTATTCAAATTTAATTGATTTTTAGGAAATTTTAGAATTCATCAGTATATTCTGTTGACATCTGATTGAGTGTTGAAAGGCTAGAAATTCGAAAGATTAGACGATATATATTGTCTGAATAGAAGTCAGTTTTAGTCTTTCAATGAAGTTATTGATGTGTTTTCACTCTTTTAATAGTTTATTGTGGTAGAGTTTTTTATATCAACTATTTGTTTTGATTCTGATCTTTAGTAAGAAGATCTGTTTATTCGCAGAAAACTCGATAAATAGATTTATTTGGACACTGTCTTTCTTACGATTGAATATAAAATATTACGATAAACATTAATCTCTCGCAAAATCATTTATATGTGACCACTGTAAGAATAGTGGATAGAATATAATGAATCATTTAGATGATTCAATAATCAATCAGTAAGTATGCCTAACACATGTTGCTATGAATTAATAGAGTTCTCTTGTTGATAATTAGCATAATCTCTACATTTAAACTTTAGTCATTTAATCTAAAAATAGTTATTCTAGTTAGACTGGCAGAAAACGCCCATCTAACTAAAAAAAATGAGGAGGATTAAGATTATATTTAGTTCAATCCTTTTTCACATCTATGTTCATATACTTCAAGGATAATGTTCTGTTTATTCGATATGTTTAGAATTTTTATGTCAAGGATAGATATTTTAAAAATGTTCAAAAACGAATTTATTGGTAATATTGATAATATTGGTTTTTGTAATATTTTCTTTTTCAACATGAAAGACAAAATTTTATAAAGATTTTAAAAAGACGTCAATTATACTTCAGCTACTTCTATGTTCTAACTGATTTATTTCGAGCAAGACCTGAAAAAAACAAAAATTCGTCAACTAATAACCTTTTAATTTCTAATGATACTAAAGAAATAAGCGTAGTTTTTTAACAAATACTCAAGTACTCATTCATTCTAATTGTTTTATTTCGAGCAAGGATCATTTCAAGTATTGAATACGTACGTCTTTTATCTGTTTATAATAAGTTATCAAATCGATTAAGATATATATATACGAAAATGTTTAAATAGATACAATGATTTTTATATAGCGGTAGATTTTCAATTGCTGGTTACATGAAGTACTGTTATAAACGAATAGTTGTTACAAAACAATCAGCTACTTAATCATTACGTAGTTGTATATTACTCGAAAAAGTATGGTTAATCAATTTTTGCATCACATAGTAAATTTCTCAAGTCACTGTTTTGTACGGCAAAAGAAATGCAACACCAAGATGTAAAACGAATCGAAATCTTTTGAGTACTTATTCGTAAGGCGACGAAAAATAATCTTTTCACTCATGACTTGCATGATTACTATCTTTTCTCGAAATTTGCTATTTACAGATTTAAGATGTTTACTTGCTTGTTCATAAAATTTTTTTCGAAATTCAACTTCTGATGTTGAATGAGAAGTCTTCACTGTACTTATGATACGATTAAATACGTGGAAATGAATGTTCTGCTTTTCTATTTAAAGTTTATGTAAACAAATAGTTTTTCTTATTGATAGTTAGAACAACAATCAATAAAAAAAGTTCGCTGTTCCGCGCCAACTAAAACGAATTCTGTCTAAGTTTAATTTTGCCTGTGACATATGTATATATATTTTTATTTCTTTCGCTTCATTTCTCCTTGATGTGTATGACTTTATATGAGGTGACAGATATCTTCATAAACGGGAATAATATCTTTGTTAAGTAGAGCCCGACTGAGTGCGCCAAGTATGATTCGACGAGTTTATACTGTAAACGTTACAGTTAATTCTGACTCGATAATTATAACATCATAGTCAATATTGTCTGACAAAATGTGTAAGACGTGTCAGCAGCCGAAAACAAATAATCAATAATAATTATCTCGTATCTTTGAAATGTCCGTCAGACGAAAAAAGATTTTACTTAAGATTCAAGAGTAATATTTGATTCGAAAATTTTTGCTCGCGACTGACCCTGTTTTTCATGATAAGTATATCAGCGATGAATTGTATTCTTCAAAATGCCAATTCTTTTTTTTTTTTTTCTTTTTCGATATATTCTGTTTCATAATAAATATTTATCTTGGTGTACAAGAGAAAAAAAGTATTGACGATAATTGTCTTTTTTTGTTTTTACACAATGGGCTATGAATTTAATGAAAAAGGAAAAAAGAACATAAGAAGAAAAAAAATTAAAAAGAGAAACAAGCACATCATCATCATCATCATCATCACTATTTATTGTTTATAATCGTAGTGGTTCATAGTGTTAATAAAAATAGAGGTGTTGTTGTTGTTTTTATTATTATTATGGGATATTACATTTGTATTCGCTTTCAATAATTATATATTAAATATGTCTTGTATTATAGCTTAATTGGCAGAGCGAATTGCTCGCCGAATTCCAAGATAGCCGTATACGCAAAGGATAACAATGAGAAGAGCATGACTGAATAATATCTGTTCAGCTCCACTACCTAAACCATTTGCCTGTTTTACGGCATCAACCCATTTTTCTACAAAATTCCAAAACAAATGCAAATAACAATTAAAATTTTTTCTTACTTGTATATACAGCTAATGCGATTGTGGTGGCAAAAAGACCCCAAATAGCAGCAAGAATTAAACAGCAGGCACATGCTGCAAGGCCACCGATTGGACCAAGTGCAGCAGCTAAAGGAGCTCCCATTGATGAGTGTTCAATTCACACACACTCGCTCGTCTACAAGAGACAAAAAGAAAAAGAAAATTATTATTAATCTGTAAGAGTTAATTTTATATCTCTAGTTTTTTTCTTTCATACGAACATGTACAAATGGAAATGGACATTCACACGCTTAGATAGACAAAAAAAAGAGGTGAAGAAAAAGAGATAGAAGAAAAACGAAAAATAATTTTGTTTTCATCTAACTTAACTATCTATATGAGGAGAAAAGTTTGCTACTCTCTCTGACTACATGTACATAGAGGTGGGCAATACAGGTTTCTCTCTTTCTCTCTGTCATACATATACTTTTTCCTCTCATTTTTTTTATGTCAGGCATATCAAACGATTCAAGGTAACATTACATACTAAACACCTACCTTAGTGAGTGCTTCCTAAAAAAACCAAAGATAAGGTATTTTTTTTCATTTATGTGTCTATTCAACCGTATACATACATGACTGCAATCCCACCAAAAAAAGGAAAAGAAAAAAATACCATCTATAGGACATTTGCATATTGATACAACCTAAATGAAAGAACAGAATATGGTGCGGAAACCATGCATGACAAAATGAAATGTATGACGAATGTATAAGACTGCCGAATGGCGATAAGGAACCGAAAAAAAGAATCGCAGAAGTATAGATAAATAAACAAATTTCTGATTTGTACCTAATATAAATGAACTTTTTAATCTAGTCGAACAAAATTATCATCAATTCAAGGTCATTTAGTTGATGACAATAAAAAATAAATAATATATTATGTAGCGTTTTCGTTTCTCTTTTTTTCACATGCTTCAAATTTATTGTAAACAATAAATGGCGTCCGAATTTTTATTAAAATATTACTGGTGATATAGGACAAAAAGGAAACAAAAAATTTAGATAAATAAAAAGATGGAGAAAAAGAAAAACGAAAAAAAAGAAACATTGAACATCGCCACGATGTTGCTATTGGATTACACATGAATTAAGATTGTTGTTGTCGTCATCGTCGTCATCGTCGTCGTCGTCGTTGTCATGTTTTTTTGCTGTTTTAGAAAAAAAAAGAAATTCAATGAAGCATATCGCGCGCGCGTTCCATGGTTTTGTCAATAATGGAGCAAAATATAAGAAATAAAATTCGTTGTGTTGCAAAAGAAAAAATTGTGAACAAAAAAAAATTTGAAGCCATTGTGTTTTTTGTGTTTGTATATTAAAGATATAACACCATAAATACGAGAAAAGATCAAGTCGTCGTTTATTGATCTATGAGCGACGCATGAACGTGAACAAAAACGAACATACGAGCACTAATAAAAGAAGCATATGTGGAGCAACAAGTTCTTCAGCACCGTTTAGACCATTACGGTTCTTAAAATCACGTAACCATCGACCTTAAACAAAAGTTCAAAATTAATAATAAAATTAAAAGAATATCAAAAGAACTTACTAATAAAGACAGTCAATGGAATAGCCGTGATAAATAGACCCCATATGCCGATAGTATTGAGACAGCATAAACATCCAGTAAGACCACCAATGGGTCCAAGAATAGCTGCAAGAAGACCAGCACCACCGGGTCCTCGACCAGCTGGTACTACTGGTGGTAATGGTGGTCGTGGTCTATAACTAACACGTGGTGATGGTCGAATATATGATGAACGGTAGACTCGACGTGATGCACTATCACCAGGTACATATGCTATAGAAATAGATAATCAAAATATTTCGAATAAAAACTATATAGATGATTTTCATTTACGCACGTGCTCGTGATCCTGTAAATCCGCCCGGGGCTTGAAGCATAACTGCAGATCAGCAGGCGGTCTATTACTTTTCTACAATAAGACAAAAGTTCATATGAACAACAACTACAAAGAACTCCATGATTATACTGATCATCAACAACAAACAACAAACTGGACTTTAGAAGCAAGAGAGGAAGAGAGAAGAAAAAAAAGAAAAAAAAAGAAATACAAAAAAACTTTTTTCGCTATCTTGATGAGCTTCTGTAAGGATGTTTTAATTTTTTTACTGTCTATTCTCCCTCTACTGTCCTCCGAATGTGTTTCTCTCTCTCTCTCTCTTTCTCATTGCTACTCGATTGACTAAGAGCAATCATTCTGTCGTGTATCTATCTGTACGTGGTATACATTCCGTTGAAAAAAAGTACTAGAGGGAGCGACAGAGAGAGAGAGAGAGGGGGGGAGGAAAGCGAAAAAGACACGGCGAATTGTACAATAACCAAAAAAAAGCAAGAAGAGGACGCGTCACACGTCAGCAAACACCTTGTTAATGATAATTTTTGTTGACTGTAATGATACATTTACAAAATAAAACCATGACTTCGACATTTTCATATATCAGAAATAGTGAAACAACATTGCACGATTAATAATATACACACAATGCATGTACAACTGCCTACCAGTGTACAACAAATTTATGCAAGGTTAGAAGAAAAAAACGAAATAAATTGGAAAAGAGAATGACACTTGAAAGCGTGGGCATATTCTCTACTGCCTTAACGCTTCATTGAGTTTTTATTATAAGAAAATGTTTATGCATGTATATGTGTATGTGTGTAAAACAATAAGAAAAGAATTAAATGATAAGATAAATATTGAAAATTGGATAAAAATTATTTTATTCAGAAGAAGAAAAAGGGAGGATAATTATTATATGTGTTTGCGTGCATATGTCATGCAAAGTTAATTTTTGATACGATTGCTTGTTGTTTGTGGCTTTTGAACTCGTACAGTAGTACGAACACCGTTCTTGATGTTACTACCACGAACAGTCGAAGTTCGACGTGTTGGAGTTGGTGTTCGACGACTTGTAACTACAGGTTTTCTTGTTTGACGTACCACTGGTGGAGCTCGCGGAACTTGATTGATACCGTTGTTATTGTTAGAGTTCAATGGACCACTACCAGGAAATACACCCGGAAAAGGTGTGGTATTTCCTTGAACTTTAAATAAGATCAATGCTTATTTACATACAATAAAATGAAATATCTTTACCATTTGTATTACTTGAACCTCCAGTGTTTGATTGATTGGGACCTAAAAGAAAATTAAGATTTTTTTTTGTTGCTCTTAACAAACTCTGATATATCTTGTTACCATTGCTTGATATAGTAACAGTATTTTGAGAAAATCCTAAACAAATACATATATCAATTCTCTTTTAAAGAATATTTTCTTTACCATTTGTTGAGCTAACTAATTATATTGCAAAAAATAAATAAAAATGATGTATATATTATAAAATTCTAACTTGTCATTTTAAATAACTAACCTGGTCCATTAGTTCCAATTGGTACTGTTGTTGTTCCAATACTATTTGTAAGTGCTATTCAATAAACAAAATATTTCATTGCAATAAAATGTAAGAGAAAAAAAGCTGGATCACTTACGAGCTGTTGTTACTGTGATAACATTTGGTCCATCTATAAGAAAAATAAGAAAAATTTTTTTTTTTAAATATTTCTTAAATAAAATTACTGGTAAATTGATTGGTCATATTCGTGATAACAGGACAACATGGATAGCAAGCAAAGACTGCAAGTGCTTTTGTAACTTCCTCGGCCACTGAATCATAAACTGAACACATTGCTTGTGCTGATACTGGCATACATCGTCGACATATTTGTCGTAAACATGAAACCATTTCGTCATTGCAAACTTTACGTTCAAACATACATGAACTAAAACACATACGATGAAGACATGTACATTCTCGATATTGTTGTGCATAACATCGAAGTGATACAAATGAACGGCCATGTCTTTGCCAAAATGGGCACATTCCACTAGAACATGATTGAGTACCACGAACAAAACGTAAATAAGTGTAAGCTGATTGTTGTAATGGTGCTTTTGTATTACGTGCATTAGTAACTGCAACACGACGATTTGTTGTTTTTGTTGTAGCTGAATTGACCATGACAATAAAAAAACAGAATACAACTATTAGACTAATACGCATTTTTGTTCGAAGTCTCTTGAGTATTGTTTGAAGTAATAGAGACTAATGAAAAAAAATCAAATGTTGGTTACTTATGGTTAGAGAGACGTCATTTATATGCTGGCAATTTCTGTCATGATCTTATTGGGATTAATTATGTACGTGAAAGAACGTCGTTGCTGTCTTTTTTTTTTTACATGAATTACAAGACATAAAAACAAGTAAATGGAGAAGTCACAACTAAATCATAGGCTTGAACTTTTAACATTCTAGTTATATTGATTATGAAAAACAAAAATGTTTACCCCACGTATTTAGAAGTGTCTAAGAAATAATATGTGAGACGTTTTAAATCTATTGACCTTCATAATTTTAAGCTTTTTCACATTTCACACATATTGGTTTAAGAGAAAACAGACGTGATCTAATGGTGCTTTTTAAGTGAAAAGGTTGTTGACCGAGTTGCTTTTTGTTAGAATTTGTTAGTTTTAATCGAAAAAAGAAGCGAAGACAAATTTTTAAATTGACAACAAAAATAACGACAACCAGAGTTAAGCCACAGAGTCGATCTAAATAACATCAAAACAATGATTTTGAATGTCAAAGAGCTGTTATGAGTGAACGCACCAAGGTTTTATTTTTCTTTCGGTGAAACGACATGATTTTTCAAGTAAAATTTATATAGGTCGAGAACAGTTATTCACTCGGACATAATATTTTATCTGTATTTTCTCTTCCGATGAGGCAGTTTAAAAAGCTCTGGGAGGACGAACCCCTATTTTTGAAAGCACAGACACATAGTATGTAACATAATAACCACAAACTTTGACAGGATCAACGTGGTTTTCGGAAGAACGCTGCCCCATCTATCGCCATACACTAGCTAAAACAGTGGTTGGATAATAGCGAGCGAAGGACGACAGTAAAGGCTTTCTCTTCATTCGCCTACATCCTAATTGTTCATAACATGCATATCTTCTAGAGTATTTACATTGCAAAAAAATTCTTGTTTCGCTTTTCTGATAAATAATATATATGAATATCTGTTATATATTAATCAAAGTGCACTTTTAGAGAAGTTTTGATAATGTAATTGACATAATTCCTTGTTTTTTTTTAATCATGTTAACCATCTAGCTCAAATCTAAGTAATGATTTTAATAGTTAATCAAATTGTCTATTTAATACATTCTATATAAGCTTGTCGATACATTTCAGAAATAGGAGAGACTAAAGATTCAACAGAAAGTACTTTCATTCGCCAAATGCTAGAAATGATGACCGAGAAGAAAAACGAAACCCACCTTGACTCAGCCTCTCCTAGGCACAAAACGACTTGTCACCAGACCGCTACTCTCCCAGTCCTATACATCTCGAAAAGACATTGTCAGCTTATTTTTTATTTCATTCTTTGCCGAAGGAAGACTAATGGTATTTCAAAAGCCGACTTCTATTTAATGTTACCATGAAGCTAAAACAAATCGGTAGAAATTCGAATATTTTGCAGGGTAAGAAAATTCAACGTTACTACTCTTTCCCTAGCTGAGAACCTTGACTCTAGATCATGATTTCATAGGTGAACTATGATGGCAACGTTTCTAAAAAACAGACACGGCAGTTCTTAGGTTCCAGAAGCTATTTTTTAACAATCCCATTTTCTACGATCTTCCCTCAAAAACTTCCAAAGTGTCATAAAAGCTGTACAATGACGAACATTCAATGAGCAACCCCAATCGCTATTACAATCACTATCTAGATTTGAGCTAGGTACTTAACATTATAGAAAGAAAAGTCAACAATAAGTTGTGGTTAAATTTTTTTCTACTATCATATGTGTGCTTCGTTATATATTTCATTATTTTATTCAACCTTCTTGTGAAATTCTGCATAGCAAGCAAATGTTCCTTTTCCAATTTACGTATATATTTGAAAAATTAATGAACAAAATTATTTTAAATTATCTTTCAAATTTTTTTTCTATAGTATTTCATCCTTGTTGTGACTTGTATCATTATATTTATATGAATAAGAATTCAGCATCTATTTTAGCTTATGAGTGTTTCTGATTAAAAATTTTATTTGTAGTCCATGCTACAAAATAATTCGTATTCAAAATCAACGATTAAAATAAAGTTTACTAAGTAACAGAAGACTTCGAGTCTTTATTATGTTCCATTTATATGCATAATTATTAATTAAAAAAGTTTTTCAAAAAAAACCAAAGATATTTTTAGGGTTTTAAAAATCTAGAAACAATGTTGACTTCAGTCTTTTAAAGTTTTCCAACTTGCAACTCTGAAAACTAATATCTGTACCACAAAAAATGGCAATTGGATGTAATCTAAATAACTCAACCAAGATAACAGCAGCTAGTGATCTGAAATTTTCAGCAATCTAGAGACGAAAAGCTCAGACATCTTTTTATCTGATACTAAATATGACAAAATTACAACAAACATTCGTCATCTTCCCAAAACATTGACAAAATGCATGAAAATGGTGTTGTGTTGTGTAAAATAAACATTCATAAAAGTATATAATACTTTAAAAGTTTATTAGAATAAATAATGATCAATCATCAATTTTCTTTGATTGAAATTTTTCATTAATCATCTATAAAATATTGATTTATGTCTTAAAATATAAAGAAAGCTATTAATAAATTCTCTTTGTTTTATCAGTTATAATGGATTTATTTATTTTTTCTATTATTCTTGTGAAATGATAGTTTGATTGAAAATCTCATCATGTCTATTTCTTCAAAAACACAAGAAAAAAAATGAACATATTATATTTATTCATTCATAATTAACGTAATAAATAAATATATATATAATACAATATTAATTAAATTCTATATGTAAATACTTCAATCATAGACACGTACAAATATTATTAAGTTTATTCTATTCAAAGATAAAATAATGCATCCTAATCAAGTATGTATTGAAAAGAATGACTCTGTAGTTAGTTCAATCATTTCATTTTTGGTTTTGTTTAATTCTATATACATACGTCGATGAAATTCATGGAAAACTGTGATTTTCTTTCGTTTATAAAAGAAGCTGTCTGTTTTATATTTCATTTTTACTTGTATGCGACTCGAAATAATTGACAATTATTTATCTAAGGCTACTATTTGTTTCCTTAGTAAAATTTATATCTGTCAGAACTGCCAACAGGGTACATTATTCTTGTCTGCTCTATTTTGACTTGAAATGCTTGCGGGTCACGCTAAAAATCACAAAATGGCCTGTAAGTCAAGCGAGGGCGAATAACGTTTCTGATTTTCTCGAGTACCTTTATTTTCATAACTCTGCATTAATGTATCATTCTTGTTTTAATTATTTACTTTATTGATTTCCATAAGGATAAATTAATAAGAAATTCTTGCACGAAATAGTAAATTAAAACAAAGCAAACGAGAAATGTTTGAAATGCTTTTTGGATTATATCAGTGCTGTTTCGCATAATCAAAAAAATTATAATCATGATAAATAAAACAACAAATAATCAGGCACACAACAATGAGGTAAACAAAAATGTACAGAATAAATGATATTTATAACAGTAGGCAAGGACATTTACATCTGACAATCAATTTTTGCGACAGTACGAATGAAAAATTTACTATCCAATTGTAGATAATTTGTATGGTAAGCAAAATTATTGGACACTCAGTTAATTTAAATCTTTTCGATAATAAAAAAACAAACTATTAGTGCAATCCCTGTGGAATTACAATGTGAATATGTTGTAATTACTGTTACTTATATCAGGAAGATCATTTCATTCTATTTATTTTGGAGTACATTTCTTCACCATCCTTCTATTTAATTCTTGATGAATGCAATAAAGAAATAGTTCATATATTGTTACAGATGTTCTTAATATACAATCTATGATCTTGTATTAGCAATGGATATGGGATCCAAAGTTCTACCTCTATACTTCAACATTCCTTTTAGATAGTATTTCACAAAATCTTTGTTAAGTTTGATAATTGACACACAGGTAAAATACTTTTTTACTACATTAATAAATTGAAGTTATACTTATAAAACAATCTCGATAAGTAAAAATACTTATTAACAAGTAATGTGTCATTAAGACGAGATAAGATTATCAAAGATAAAATTTGTCAATAGTAGTATAGAGGGTTTACTTTTTTCTCTTGCTTTTCTTCTATCAGTCGGTGGCGATGAAGAAATAGTCTTAAGAAATGTATCGCATCGGTTTTTGAAGAAATAGGACTAACAAGTAGAAAGAATTTTTATTATATTTTGGTTAAAGACTCATAATCCTTGGTATCAAGGATACAATAATTTAACATCACGCATATAAAAGAAATTCGTTAGAAGCAACAAATAAAATCATGAATGACAAATATACACTATCAAAACTATTTTTTACAATGGCAAATGATATTGTAAATAAATGATGCAAGGTCTTATCATGAAAACCAAACAAATACAATTCTATTTTCAACTGAATCGATAATCACAAATAAAAATTGAACTGATACATATCATTTTGTAGGATCGTCAAAAGAAATGCTACAAACATTATGTCTAAAACAAAGGATTTAACTAAGTGCTATATATCAGCAATTGGAGCACAAAACAAAGAAAAATTAGACTTCAATTTTGGAATATGGAAAGCAACTTTATCAGGCACAATGTGTCACGAAGACAAAAAACATAGAATTCGCGATTGTTCAAGTTCTTTCAAAGAATATATCTGGAGGCACATGAATAGTAAGATAATTAAGTTGAAAAATTGCAAATTACCTCCAACAGTAAAGGATATACTATCGAGTGAAAAAAGAAAAGAAAACGCGAACAACTACGAAAACAAGAAAAGGTTCATATGGTAAGTTTGTTCGTACTGTCGCTCTATACGAGCAGTAGATTGTCTATTGGAGAACATCTATCGACACACTGTATATTATATTGAACGGTCTACCGTAAGTTTTTGCTCAGTTTCAGTAACATGGAACTTCATCAATGCAATAACTGTGTAATTAAATTTATTACTTATATATTAATATTTTTTGTTTTTACTAAACCGAATTTCTATGTATACCAATTGATTTACAAGTTTTTGCCTTCAAAGTTAAACTTTTGTCAACTAGGACTTAAATAATATTCTAGATCAAAAATGTATTTTTTTTATTAAAAATTGCCTTTGGTAAATAGTAATCAATGACTAGAAATCATATCTTGTAGAATATTTACTAGAGAATCTGATTTAATCATTATTGATTGACGAAGATACTCATTACGTACTACTCGTAAAATAGTGACACTAGAAATATTTTCATGATGTACTTGGGTGGGGATGTAAGTGTCAGAATCTTCTCTTTATGCACACCCACCCTTAAGTTAATGAAACGCTTAATTCCAGAACGACAGCAAGAAAACATGAAAATTACTTAGAACAAGTACTGGATTGACTTTAAAGTGCATTTTACAGAAGGCAGTTAGGGCACATTCGAAAACAAAAATTATACTCTATGAAAGTGACTAGATTTTAACAATTTAAACTTGTGCTATAGAGTAGAGGTATATTGAATTACTAGTACAATGTATAGTGTTACAAGTTTTTAGACTGATAACAATCATTGTAATGAGGAAATGTTTTCAATTCATCAGTCACTGCTTTTTTTTAATGAAAACTACTGAATAATAAGTTATCGATCATTCTAATTTCAAAAATATTCTTGAGAAATTCTCTTAGGTCTTCATATGTTAGTTTTCTACACTGATAAAATTTTTGCTAACATTTTTCTTTGATCTATCTAGGTTAAAGCGTATATCGAATTGTTTAGAAAATAGTAACTTTTTCTGTTTCTACATTCATTTGAATTCATACAATAGATAGATATCGATATTTTAATGAGAAAATCTTCAATGTGATTTATTGGCTACTCTGAGAAAAAAAAAAGTCAACTTATAGTCATTTTTTGTTGTTCATTTTCACATCACTTGATACTCAATAAAAAAAAAGTTTTTCCTTGGTTGAAAAGAGTATTTTGTAAGCAAAAAAGAACATTGAACAGTTAATTGATAAACAAAATTTGCCATTGAAAACTATCAAATCAACAATAACGCCAAAATCTTCAGCTGTATGGAATAATCTTAGTTGTATTTATACAAACGCAATGCAGCAAGAACATATTCTATGCACTAAAGATGAAAATTTACTTGTTTATAAATCATCTTCTGGTATTAATTCATTATCTAAACATATTCCTAGTTCTCAAAAAAAAAAAACGACAGTTTCCTATTCTCAAACAAGTATCCATCAGTTTTATTCATCCTCGAAAAATAAATTATCTATTTCAGATCAAGTTAAGCAGGAAGTTAGAGTTGCTTGTGCTGCATTTGCAGCACTTGGTTATTGAAGATTAAAAAAATTAATAATATCGGTTTTAAACATCTTGTACAAAAAATTGTTAATGTTGCTCGTTACTTACCTGTAAGGAATTATGAACCCATGTTTTTGTGAACCGGGGGTGTAGATCTAGAAGGACTTGCAGATCTCTACCCATCATTCAGTAGCTTTTGGTGAGAAAGTGATTGATCTATTGAAAATATTCTCGCTTAAAGCGAATCATTTTGATGGAAGTTCTATACTATTTTGTTCAGTTTTTAATGCTCGTTCAATTGACATATTTATCAAATGAAAATGAAAATAAAATTTTCTCCTTTTCTAATAATTAATATTAAATAAATATAGCTAATAATTAGTTATTAAAATTAGTGATTTCCATGAAAAATAGTTTTTACTATGAAATATACAAATATGCCGAAAACTTTTGTCTGCTGAATTAAAACTGTTAGTATGAAAAATAACTCATAAAAATACATATATGACAACAATCCCTCGTCAACTTTATAGCTCCGCCTCGAGAGTTACATAAATCACTATTTGAATGATTTGAGCAAAGAATTTTGAAAATAACAATAAAAAGTGACTTAAATTTTTTCTCCCACTCTATCACAAATCATTAGATCTTTGAATATTTCTATTCTTGAAGACAGGACAAAAGAAAATGTTTTGCACTTTATTACCCATTGATTTTACCCTGGGAACTAAAAAAATGATTTGTAATTTAGTTCAATCCATGTAGTACGTGCGAGGGAAGAAGATAAATAATGTATTTTTGTTTTTAATATTTTATATGCTACATAAAAGCCTGATTGATGTCGTCAACGTTAAGACATAGTGCACTTACGGCATTATAGACAATTAGAATGGATATCATTGTAATAGTTCTTTCAATTTTTTTGATTTTTTTTCCTTGAAAAAATCGGTAAAAGAGAGAAAGGAGATTGATCGTTAATTTTTATTGACGTCTTATCGATCCGAGTATTTATTAACGTGTGTTTACGAGAAAAGCATTTACAATTTTTTCTGTACCGATACATATTCTTACTGTGATTAACATCATGCGTCATTATCAACATATAATTGTTGCTGCTTTACTTATGCAAGTGAGTAAATTTGATACATTATTTCATTCGATTGAATATATTTCGTTTTTAAATAGTTATTTATTTCATGTTGGGCTCGAACAAGATTTGTACCGGATCCATGGCCAGCATCATCCTCTTATTGGAATGAAATTGATGATACTTCTAGCAACGACAACAATGGCAACAATGATAACGATGTAGGTGAACGAGTTGGTCCCTTGACAATGAAAGCTAAAAAAGCATTGCATGGTGGTTATCCTTTTGGTAGTGAAGAACGGCGGAAAAAATACCTTGGAGAATCGACAAATTTTCATGGTGGACATAGTCTTCAAGGTCTTTGGGCAATGCCAGGACGACGTTAAACCATAGAACAGATTCATAAAAACTGATTATTGTACTTCACGAAACAAAATAAAAGAAAAAACATATATGACAAATGGTTATCTGTTCATCATTATAACACGAAAATAAATAATAGGGAGTTATGAGAGTGAAAAGTTTTCTTTGAAATAAAAATAATAAAAATAATTCTATTTTCATTTATTGTATTTGTATGATTACTTGAATTGTCTAATGCATAATTGAATGAATACTTCAATGATTCTGTGCATGTTTGACGTTATTTCAAAATTCTGTGCATCGGTGATAGGTTTTTTTCTTAGCAATAGCAATTAAATGCATGCAATCAGTTCATTATCAATTCCACTCTTCGTTAAAACGAGTTTCAGTCAATGTCTGCTTGAAAAATATGCTGTTTTCGAAAAAAACTGGGAAATATTTTTTGCTATTTTCTCTTTTTATATTTTTTTGATCCAACATTCTTGAATTCTTACAGAACTCTATCATGCCTTGAATGTCTGTCTTGAACATCATGATATAGGACTCAAAATTTTACCATAGCTTCTTCACTGTAGCCTTAGCATATACTGAAAATTGCCAGCAATTTTACTGCACGTGAACCAAGATCGATTTTTTAGAAGAATGTGTGTTGAATTGGAAGAATGACATTATGAACAAATGTAATAGCCATGGGATCTACAAGATGACATATATATATATGTCAAAATAGAATATTACAAGAATCAACAATCAAAATATTCTTGTTAATATCTATTGTTATTACATTAATAATAAATAACGAAAATAGAAGATAGCGTCTGCCATACAACAATATGACGTGAAAAATGTCTAAATAAATCGGTCGAAAACAAATGATTCATTGTTCACTTCACTTTTCAAGACCTCAACAACATAACAATTATTTTTTTATAAAGTATACTTTATCTAAAATCTCAAATCAGATATATATGACTCACGATGCGGCCACCGTCATCATAGTGGAGACGACGCGGAAAAAGTTTCAACAATACCATTGCGACATGTTCTTTTTGAAAGGACATTGTCAACAGTTCTAGTTTAGTACAATCACAGTAGTGAAATTCAAAACACTTTTTCGAATATCATTGCAACAGATTTTCACTGACGATGGGCATCTCTGTCTCCAATATCTTTAGTTCAGCTTTATGATTTACTTTTAACTGTTCAAAGAAAATTCTTTCGAATTAAGATACCGGCATGAATCAGATGATTCTGTCGATTCTCTGACTAAGTATAGTTCTACCTATTTTGATCAACAAGGATAATTTTTGTAATAAATTAGACAAATATCCATTTTTCATTGGCTAAAACATATTTCCGAAAAATCGAAAATATCTATCCAAAATCAGTGTCGAAAGCGCTTTCTGATTATATATTCAAGAATCTTCTATCGTAGCTTGTGTTTGAATAGTGAACACATCTTTGAGTAGTAGCATAAAAATGTCCGATGTAATAGAAAAACTGCTACTGAAAAGTTACTAATTCATCAGTATTTTATCAGTTCTTTCGGTTCATTTAATGAGGTTTTGTTCATCTTGTCGCTATTGGATCAACCGCTCTAGTCTGAAGAAATCGTGTCGAAAATATTATAAAATTTTTTGAGATAGCATCGAAAAAATCAGTTTCTGAGATCTTGGCATCTTTCAGATTGCTGCTCTTTTTTTTTTGTTCGACGTCCAAGTTTGTCATTTCTATGAACTAGCAACATAAGAGATCTGATATATTTATAGGTGAGTATCTCAGATCATTCATAGTCATTATTTCACGTGCTTTCTATTTTTTTTGATGGCGCCGTTCGAATCTCGAAAAACTTTTATCTGTTCAATATTATTTTCACATTCAGTTGTGATGATATTTTTTTATATCATTTTTTTTAACTATTTGATCATGTTATATAAAGCAATACCGTCTGATTTTCTATCAGATTCGGAGAGAATCAAACGGCGCATCTAGTAGAGAAAAGAGCAGCAAAACACTATGGAACACATTGGAGAAAATTAAAAAATTTTGAGAGTTTACCTTTCTCTGGTGCTATATTTACAGACTACATTTTAGTGTTGTTTAAAGATGTATTTATTACTTAAAACAAGCCCTGATAAAACATTCCAGAATATACACTTTTAAAAAACACTTTCGACGTTGATTCTGCATCGATATTTTCGATTTTTTGGAAACATGTTTTAGTCGATGAAAAATGAATACACATTTGTTCAAGAACTTTTGCAACAGTTGTTATATTAAGACGTAAACTTCCAACTTATACAGAAAATTTAAGTTCGATTCGAATATATTATCTAACACGAGTTACAGATGATAAGGAGTTCTTTAACTAACAATTAGAATCCTTTTTTGACTTTATATTATATAAAACAAATGATATTAAAAAAATAGTAAAGACAATCATCTGTTAATCTTTTTAAGTTTCTTCAAAGTTTAAAACTTTCAATTTACTAGATACTCTCTTAGATTTGAAATTGTATCTATCATTTTTACAATGTACAAAAAATAAACATTGTACAATTTCTAAATGAGTCATATGACGAACGAATAAAGACTATATTAGTAGTACATTTGATCAATAAGTAGGCAGTAGATAAACGATGTTTTCTTCTTCATCAAATATCGAATCATCATCATTTAGTATAAACGACAAAAACGAATGATTTTAAATTTTGTTACTTAAATATTCATAACAAACATGCTATTACACCTAGCAAAAAATATTTAATATTCAAAATTTCGCAGGAAAAATTTTTTCGAGTCAAAAATCTGTTGAAAAATTTGTCTCTTATTAAATACTAATCAATGGTGTGCACGATAAAGATTCAGAAAAAAAATGAAATACGATTCGTTTTTGATAGTTCCATGTTAATTCGATTGTAATAAGTTTTTATTATGTTCTTATTTCAAACAGATACGAATGTATTGTGCAACTGTAATAAACTTTCATTAGTTAATACGTGGTCTGGTTTGGTGCTCTCCGATGGGAATATTATATCTAGATATTGAATCACTGCTCAAAGAACTCGCCTATTAGAATTATCAAACGAGCATCATAACAAAAATGTCTAAAAAAATATTCAATCAAATGAAATTTGAATAGAGATTATTCAATATTCTTCTATAGTAATTCATATTCTTATTCAATATGATTTATAACTAAAAATTGCCAAATCGCTGCCGAACATTTTCATCGGAATGAGTATATTATTCATAATCGAAATCTGAAACATAAATAGTTTAAATTTTATTTTTATAGTCATCATCGACAAGGATCGATTTTGAAATAATGTCATTCCTATGACACAGAGGTGCAGAATCTGCCCGGATGCGCGAACGACCGTTCGGGGAAATTTTAGGAGATCTATTAATATCTGGGGAAATTTTTTGAAAAATAATGGGTGTTATATAGTGCATGTCACAGTTTTATTTTCTATCTTTTAGGAATTTAGCAATTATTTGAATTTTAACTCTCATCTCGGTCGATAAAGAATTTGCATCTCTACAAAACTGTTGAGTTTGTGTCTCGGATAGATTTTTCATTGCAGGCATAAACTTTATGAAATGAAAACGTATTGAATTATTAAATTGCAAATTCTTGTTTTTCTACTGATGAAAAATGATTTGTGTCAGTATGTACTCATCTAAGCCAATTCCAAAAGCTAAGTATTGTAGAACAAAACATAGAGAATTTTTCGCTCTATATGCTCACGATCTTGGCATGTTTTTAAGTGTTTTTTCTTCAGAATGAGAAAAGTTGCGAACTAAAATCTAGAGATATGTTATGAGTGCATTATGAAAAATTATCTAATCACAAGTCAGACTCATCCTATAAAATGCTGATTCTCATACCATCGAATGTATAATTAAATTCTGAATACCATGGTACATGTGTTCATTTAAACAGTTAAAATAAATAGGCTACCTTAAATTAATCGAAAACAATAATAAAGATTTGTTCGGAACCAGCTTTCTCGATATTTTCTATTTAGAAAATTTTTCTCCCAAATATTTATTCTGATGCTTTGAAAGTTACACCAAAAGTTGCAGAGCTTTGTGTAGAATATTGTAGCATAATTCAAATTTCAGCATTTTCTCTTTTTTTGATTTTCACATTTGTACAATAGAGGAAATGCTAATCTCACTAATTTTGCTCGCACGCAGAAAATCTAATTGAAAAACAAAGTTGACTGACAGCACAATGAGCAATTGTGATTGATCATGTGGACATGACATTTTGTTTTGCGAATAAGCACTTATTGCGTCTCTATGATTGTTACCCACAAAGCCTAGTAAACACTCAAAAGTAGAAACAATTTATTTGAAAACATTAATTTTTTTCGAAAGATTCAGCTGAGAGAGGAATATTTCATAGTGAAAAATCTGAAGAAAAACATTTCTCTATAAATATGATTGTATCGTATATAGAGGTGTAAGCCGAAGGGTCAAACAGCGGCGACTACTATACTTTATGTTTTTCTGCACCGACGGCCGCTTTCACAACCAAAAAAAACGAAAAAAAAACGTTTTTGCTCCTAAAAATGTCAGTGGTGGCGGCACATCGTACTATTATCAAAAATTTTCGTTCGTGGCGGCGGCGCAGCTGGATGGCTTACACCTCTAATCGTATATGGTTTGATGCAGTTTCTCGTACTGATTCTGAATATGATCTTTTTATTGAATAAAAACGTTTCTAAGTCGAGCAAAATAGGCAATACCTGAAAAACTATGAGTTTCTTAAAAGCCTCCCATGTTGGGTTCAGGAACACTTATGATAATTGTAGTGATAGATAAAACATGAGAGAACTTTCTGGAAAAACTTGAATCAATATCGAATTAGGCTGTAAAGAGGCGCTCTTTTACTTATAGAATCGTATGAAAAATCACAAAGGAGAAAAAAAAGAAAATTTTATTCTGAAAAAAGATCAGTGATAATTGAACACTTATTTTTAATAATCGATAGCTGACATGGATTACAATCCTTATACAACATATTAAGACGACACTCAATAGTTTTCATGATCTAGCTTTTAAACTACTCAGAATGCTAACACAAGTCTCACGCATTATATCCGTTCTCAATGAGTCGTTCGAATCCACACAAAATAAGAGTAAGGTGAGTGTGAATGCGAGAATGGATGTACATGTTGATTCTTTGAACGAAAGATTATCTTGAACTGTAACTAGAGCATGCCATACACTGTGAACAGATAACTTCTATGATCTGTATGAATCCATTCAATCTAAAATAAAAGTGAGTCTCAATAATTATTTGATTTCTCAGCTCGAACAAATAAAGACACAAAAAATCTTATTGAGTATTAAGAAATGAAAAAGGTAAGTAATTCCGAAAATTCTTTGATCACGGGCGGTAACTCTTTATTTCAACAAAAGGATTACAATACTCTCGTAACTGTGAGACTCTAATCTAGTAAATTTTTCACGATTTGCAACATGTTATTTAATGGTTTGTTAAGAAAATCTTAAAGAAGATTCAAACTTCTAAAAAAAAAAAAAAAAAACTGGAAAAGGCAAATTTTAATACAATGACTTCTATTTAGATTTTTAATATATCTTTGTAGTTTACTTGTAGCATTAAAAAATAGAGCTAATCAGCTTAAGCATTGGAAAACGCTTATCATTAGTCTATTCCATCAATCTGACATTGGCCTAAGAAGATCCAAAATTGGCCATATTACTTGTTCAATCCAATATTGGCCTAGTTCAGTCTAAGATCCGTCTGAAAGTTTCAGCCGAATCTCTAATTAGGCGTAGTGTAACTGAATAATCCTAAATAAACTCGAATCTACCTATGGCCAATATCGCATCTTAGATTTCGTGCATTCACAGTAACACCGTACATTGGTCTACGCATTAAGGTTCAACGGAATCCTAGATTGGACGCTGACATATACATGGCCATCGCCAAAAAACACACATAGAAAATATCTACTTCAACCAGTAAAAAAAAAGAAATTTTCTTTTTTTTTGAAAGTTCAACAATCATTCAATGTCCCATGTCCCCGAGTTAAATAAAATGATTTAACACATCTAGTTGAAAAAAAAATCTACTATTTTTTTAAAAAATTTTATCAACCATTGAATGTTCCAATGTATCGCACGTTAAAAATTTCTTAAAATCCTTCATTGAACAAAATAAAAACATTCGCCTTACTAACATTCATAAATAACAATAAATCTATAAATAATATTCTCATGAAATAAACTACACATCACAATACTGCGATCACAAAATAATATCCTATTACCAATAAACAACGCCAAATACGTTAATAAATAATAATTTTATTTTTATATAATTTAAACGAAACACTATCTAAAAAAAACTAAGTCCATTTAATCATATAAACTTTGAAAGAATGATTACTAAAAGTACAAAGAAAAACTTTTATCTGTAAGTAAGTCCTTATAACGACAGTAAATCCTACGGCATCAAATCCTGAATTATGCTTCAATATTCGATAATTTATTTAAATAAGCAAGTGATGCTCATTTCTGATTGGTACATTGCTTTTGACCAATGACAATCTATCCAACGACTAGTCTTGTTTCATCAGAAAATTAGAAAAATATAAAATGCCAGAACCATTATCAATTGAGAATGTCTATGGTTTAAATAAATCGCTTGATCTTGATTATACAACAATTGATATGCTCTATTTACCATCAATTCAATGATTTTATTGAATGATTACGTGGTCGATATCATCATCGTAAAGTTGGTACTGTAAAAACAATAGATGAGAATGTGAAATTTAAGATCAAATATGTTTTTATGAAGTTGAAACGGCTTATTGACGTGAAAAACGTATTGATACAATACTTGTAGAAATCCTTCATGATCAGTTAACAGAGATAAATGTACGAAAGGAAAACAATGCGTTATTTGAATTACATTCTAATGGATATCAAAATATAGTGAATGTATGCACCACATAGCTGTGTTGATGTTTATATGAAACAAAAATATCTTTTGATATGGATGCGTCGTCATCCAGAAGTTGATCTTAAAGAACGAACAATTCAATGTGATTAAGCAAAAAACAAATGATTATATCAAAAGTATTCCTATACCAATGAAAATTCGTTAAAAATTAAACGTTTATTATTTTCTTATGTTTGAATATGTATTATTAGTCATATTTGCCTTGCAATCCTTGTTTTTTTCTTTCTTTCTTTTTTCTATTGAAGGACATTATCTTTGTATATGTATGGAAAGTAATTAATCTCTTTCGTTTTGTTTCTTTTTTGATTTGTAGATATGAAAATGGAGATATCAACATTGGCCATAGATCGTTTCGATCTATTTACAATTCTTTTTGATATTTTAATTTCAATCTTTGGTTGTCTTATGGTTAATCGACTTATACCAATATTAAGAGAGAAGTTTATTAAAGCACAATTATGGGGATATGATTTAAATAAACGAAATTCAAAAGAAGTTAAAGTGTAAGATAAGAACAAATTTCTTTTTAGGTTCTTTTTTTGTTTTGAAAAAGAAAAAACGAAGATAATTAAAACTCTTCTAATCGTTTCGTAAGATATCCCGGATATGAATTAGAAAATTTAATGAAAAATATATCCTAAAACAGATCCTTAGAATATCATCCGGTTTAAATATCCAATGTAGTTTTACATGATAGTTCCGAGTATACCGTTTTCTTTCAATCGACATGCTTTCGAGTTTGAAAAAGAAAAAGATGTTGTTGTTTTTGAATAAACCAAGGCTATTTGAAAAACATACTATATGGCTTAGGGATGTCTATACTAACTGTAGTGATAGTGGATACAAAATCGAACATTCTGACACAACTTGAACAGATTTAGATTGGCGCCAAGGGACAAGCGCGTTTGTACTGAACATGTCTATCATGTGTTTTAATTTTGTAAAAAATTGATTTTCTCATCAAAATTAATGTTTCAAGGATAGTTTTCGTATTCCAGTTTTTTCAATTTACTTAAAATTCGTAAAAAAAAATTTTTACGTCATTCAATAAAAAACGTCTCAAAGCAGATGCATCATTAGCTGAATCGATGAAAGGATAAAATTAGATTTTTTCACGTAATATCCACGTGAATGTATAATGTGTCTGTAGCATATATTAAAATATGTCTAGTTTTTAGGGTTTTGAGCTGAAAAGTTTTAAAAGGCAGAAACCAATATTACTTCTCGACTTTCTTCAGATGATTAAATGATTCATTGCAGGATTGTTGCTCGTGAGTGCGAATGAGAATACTTTAACGCTATTATGCCTATACGACGAATTGTCCTAGTATCGGACTTTTAAAATTCTAAAATCTCTTCCGAAATCTTCAAAATCGTTTTTTATTTTTATTTTTTGAAAAAAATTCTTGAATGTAATAGAAGAACAGTAGTGTTCTATTGTGGAAACAAGTTTACTCTCCACCTATAATAGACAAACTTGAAGATCTATTCAGAAACGTTTAATGAAAACCTTATAGACAAAAGACTACATATGATTTTTCTTTCAGTGCAGAATCCCAAGGTGTTTTAGCGGCAGGCATTTTTCTTGTACTAATGTTTATTATGATTGCTATTGTCTTTTCTGAACATTTACATCCAGAAAGTGATTTTCCACATAATAAAGTAAATATTTGTTTTTTGGCTAAAAATATTTAATTATTGTTGTTTTTTTTTCTTTTGAAGTTTGTTGAATATTTAGCTGCTCTACTCTCTATCTGTTGTATGGTATTACTTGGTTTCGCTGATGATGTACTTGATCTACGTTGGAGTGTCAAATTATTATTACCATTAATTGCATCATTACCACTTTTACTTGTTTATTTTGCTAATTATCATTCGACAACTATTATTTTACCTAAACCGGTAAGACCATATTTAGGTCAACAATGGAATCTTGGTATGGATTAATAATAAATTTTTAGTAAAATTACTAAGTTTCTATTTTCATATAGGTATTCTATATTATATTTATATGAGTATGGTAGCCGTATTTTGTACGAATGCAATTAATATTCTAGCTGGTATCAATGGACTTGAAGTTGGTCAATCGATTATTATTGCAATTTCAATACTTATTTTCAATGTAGTTGAATTACAAGGTTAATTTTTTTTTAAATAAAAAAAAGATTTACATAATGAATTATTCTTTAGGTATTTGTTGGGAAGAACATTTATTTTCACTTTATTTTATGATTCCATTTATTGCTTGTACATTTCCAATTTTAATCAAAAATTGGTTTGTTTGTTGTTTTTATATTTCTTATCACAGAAAAAAAAAAAATTTTTGTGAAACATGATCTAAAAGGAGTAATGAAATGAGATGTGTTCAGTTTCCGTCAGTTCTGAACTTATGACACTCTCGGACCTCAAGCAACTTCAACAACTAAGGCAATCCTAAGAATGCAGAATCTTGCTGACATTTAGGTAACAAATTAACTCTAACATTGCAAACGAAATCGACATAATCCCGCTTTGATTACTCGCAAGTTTTAAACGGCCAAGTAGTGTCTTATATTTAGAAATTTGGGATACCAGAACTACCACGAAAGATAGCGCAAATATACGGTGCAGTCTTTTCCGTGGATATTGAAATATGGATGTGGCTGTGAGTGTAGTAAGAACTGAAACTTACACCACACTCACATCCTTCTGAAAGTTTCTAGTATTCTATGAGTGAAGCTGCACTTGTGGGAGTTTCATGAGCTCAGAACTAATGAAACCCGATTACTACTGTTATGACATATGAAAAAAGGTAGTAGGATTTTCTATCTAATGCATTCTATATCAAGATGTCATAGATGAACTCTGATGGCACAGTTTCAAAAACACCAGCCATAGTAGTTTTCAGGTGCCAGAAGCTATTTTTTTTTAACAATACTATTTTAAAGAGCACAAAATGCTGAGAAAAAATGAAGAGTCGCTGCCTATTCTATGACCTTCTCTTAAAAGTTAAAAGCATTACAAAAACCAAAAACAAAACAGGCAGTTTTTAGTTGATGCTCTGATAAATTTCGTTTCTTCGATGATTTTTGTTAAACTCTTAAGTTTTAATGGAAGGTCGTAGAAAATGTGGTGACCTCACCTTTTGTTCAAAGCTTTTTACTCTATAAAATAGCGTTTGTAAGAGAAAAAAGGCTACTGAAATCTGAAAACTATTATGGTCAGTTTTTTCAAAACCTTCCTATCCTATTTCATCTGTGAAATCTTGATATAGTATACATTTAATAGAATATTCCATTGACTATTAAAATCGTTATCGGAACACTTAACACTGGAGACGAAAAAAAAAATGAAAAATACGTTGTTGTTAAACTTATTTGCACCATATCACTTTCTTATTGGATTTATGGAAAAATTTGATGAAATATCTTTCACCAAAAAGAGAATAAAACGATCTCCTTGTGATTAGTAAGAGTAACTACATCATGTTTCACATTTTAATCTCATCAAGACTCTGCTAACAGTTTTATTTACTATATTTTTTATCACTACGCATTAAATAGGTATCCAGCAGAAATATTTGTTGGTGATACACTTTGTTATTTTTCTGGTATGACATTTGCTGTTGTTGGTATACTTGGTCATTTTAGCAAGACAATGTTACTTTTTTTTATACCTCAAATTGTTAATTTTCTTCTATCTGTACCACAATTATTTCATTTTATTCCTTGTCCACGACATCGTTTACCAAAGTAGATTAATTACTTTCAATTTTATTTTTATTTATTTGTTTTTTTATCGTTTTAGATTAAATCCAGAATTGAATAAACTTAATCCATCAGAAGTTGAATTTAAAAAAAGTGATTTAAAAATACTTGGTTGGTTAATGTTACGTTTTTTTTCAATAACAAAATTTATTAGATATCGAGAATATCGAAATCATGACGATGAATTAATGATTTCAACAACAAATTTTACTATTATTAACACAGTTCTTTGTTGGTGGGGTCCATTACATGAAGAAACACTTGCTCGAATATTAATTTTTATACAGGTCAGTATATGATGTTATAATGATTTATTTATCTAATAATAAATGTCATTTAGATTGTATTCGGCACCTTATTAACATTTTTCATTCGTTATTATTTGGTGAAATTTTTCTATGATTCATAATTATTATATTTCAAAAATTCTAGTTTTTATTGCTTAAAATGACAAATAAATTCTTTCTCTTTTTTTTTATCAACTAAAAATACATTGAAAATTATTCATTTGATTTTCGAAAATGAATGTATACAATTAGATATATATGATTTTGAATACCAAGAATAATGAATTGTCGAAATGGAAAGTTTCTTTTTTTTGTCCAATGATACTATAGAAAATGTTTTAGATGAAAAATGATGGTTTTATTATTTAATGAGTTGTTTGTTAATTCCAGATGTTCAAATAGTTTTAGTGATGAGTGACGAAGTTTTAGAAGATATTGCAGAAACTTGATTTGAACTGAATTTAATTCGTCGAGTGAGTCGAAGTCGAGCAAGAAGTATTTCTTCGGATGGTGTTTGTTGAATTTGTTTTATTTTACTTGTACAAAATGCTGCATGACGATCATAAGCTTTTTCACAAAATTTACGTTTACATATTGGACAGCCTATATTAATTGAAATGAAAAAAAAATAAATTTCGGTTATTTAGATAAAGATAGAAAACTTGTTCATCTTTGAATTCTACACACAGTCGAAATACCGACAATAGATTGTCAGTCAGAAAACAACTATTTGTATACTGCAGTAGAATGGTGTTCAGAAGATAGCGGACCGTTTAAATATCAAACTACCGTCGGTTGATTGTCAATATAGCGGCGGTTTTTGTCCGGTTAGAATCATGTGGGACATCATAATTATCTCTTATTATTGTGCTTAACGTTTGCTCTGCTGTCCGTCCTATGTCTAGCTCAAGCCTGCAGTAGCCATAGAGCTGAAATTGGTGCCAATTATAAGATAAATTTTTATAGTACAAACAAATGTGCGACATGAGTACTAACAAATACAAGTAATGACTCATTTTATGTATTCATAACACTTGTCTTATGCTGTTTTTTTTTATATTCCAATAACGTATATCTTATATTTTTCTTGTTTGAATATTTACTTATACATAATAGTTATCGTTTGCCAATAGCAATTTAATTAATTGTTCTTATTCGCGTACTTATAAAAAAAAAATGAAGATAGATTCATAAACTGAATATTCACTAGCGAGGGTGTTGAGTATAATGAATATCAGCTAAATTGATCAGTGGTCAGAAAAAAAGAAGCAGACATTCTCATAAATGCTGAAATAGCTTATTAATGATGGTCCTTAGTTAAAAGAACCTATATATAAAATGAAGAATGCAAAGAATTACGGAAACGTTGACAAAAAAAAATGAAGATATTGATATTAATATGGTAGAAGACGAAAACATTGAATAACTCTCATTAAACATAAATATCTGGGATAGCACTTTTGGATGTGGAAATTACAGTGCTTGATGTATTTTCTTTCATTGATAACAAAAATAAAAATTCGTTTCAGGAAAAGCAATTAAACAAACTAGTCCTTAATCTAAATTTGAGATCAAAAGACTCTAATGAAAAATTTTCTACCTATATAGACATTCACATTGTTCGAGACTTTTATAATCTACTGAATAACAGCTTAGAGTCTGAGAAAATTTTTCAAATCTTGATATTTTTCTCAGAATGTTAGGTATTCAAACAATTTAAATACATTTGATATATATATTCAATGTTCGACATTTTTAAGAACAAGTCATATTATTAATAAAGATTAAACATACATATATACATACAGAAATTGTCGATAACAGGTGGTACAAGAGTATCTGAACGACGATCACGTTTAATACTTCGTGTTTGAGAAGGTCGTATGTTGATATTTTTAGGTTGATCGTTTTTAAATGGTAATATTTCATGTACTGGTATAATTTTGTCACCTGCTTTTACAGAACGATATTGTGTCATATCAAACGTATGTACATTTCGTTTATTTGTAGGATTTTTAAGACAGACATTTGGATGTTTGACAAAAACTTCTTGACGCATTCGTCTTAGACATAGTGAACATTGAACTAACTCTTGTAATACTTTGTCAGTACCATCACTAATATCACGCATATCGTCGATTTTGTTATTCATTCTGTTTGAAAGTATTTACATTGTGCTATACTGCTCAATATATGTGTATGGTGTCCGTTATCATGGAGATATTATCGGTGCAACTCGATAAATGCAGATAGCTTCTGTGTACCTTTCTTCATTTGCTTTAATTGGTCTTTTTTTTTCTCTCATTCTGTTTATATATCTTACCTTCTCTAATAGATATTTCAGTGAATATAAGGTCAAGTAATTTATGTCAAGTTTTTGTATTCGTACTCTTTGTCAAGTTAAAAATCTTGAAAGAAAAAGACACCTATTAAAATCTCACTCCGAATATAAGTTTTGAAGAAATTTCCAGCAAGAAAAGAATACGTATAAATTTTGCCTAGAACACCTACGATAAGATGAAAAACTATTGAACAATTGAATAGTTTTATTCATGCATGATGATCAATTGAATCTGATTTAAAGTTTACAAGTAATTTACAACTTGTGAAGGATTTTTCTTTTTTAATCGTTGAGTTAAATTGTAGTATTTTTTCAATGGGCAACTACTATTAACATCGATAACTTTTCGATAAGATTTCAATGTTGAAATCGAATTTGTAAAAAAACAAATAAGAAAGACTAGATAAATCATATTAGTGATGTAGTTTATTGCATGTCTACTTCGATATAGATATTTTTTCTATAGAAGTTGATATTCAAGTATGTTCCTTGGCAATTAGAATCGATTTAAGGATAAAGATAATATATTCAAGGACTATTTACTGAAATGAGAGAAAAAATTAGGAAACTTTTCGTTTTCTTCTATTTCTAGGTGCATTTGACCTGCATTATTTTTTTAGCGCGAAAGTTTCTTTAAGTCGTCAATGCATAACCAGGTTAAAATGTGACCTTGTCGGTCAATCCTAGTTTAACTGAAATAGAATATTCATTCTCTTTTATGTACATATCTGCATCGTCAGATATACATATATATATATAGTCTGCTTTCTTTTCTTTTCCTTCTCGATATAACCATACATCCATTAGTGAACAATGTCTGTCAAAAACAAAGACATATACATATATATATAATTCTTTTCCATGTGCGATGTCTTTTTTGAACCTTGTCGGATTAGATAGTTTATCGGCTAAATAATCAGCCGCATAAATAAATATTTATGTATTTTAGATTCAGATTAGTTTAAAATTAAAATAAGCAATTTTTTGAATGATAATGGATGGAAAATTAACAACAATATCGACGTCTCCTGATTCAAGTATGATTTCTTTTTAATATTCAATCTATCTTAATTTTGAAGAATTTTCTTTTTGTTCGTTCAGTACTATCAGGATTTTCATCGTCTGATTCCATTGCTACTAGTAGTACTGTTCCTTCTGCATCTACCATGTCAGTATTTCCACCACTTCGTTCATCATTTACAATGGCTAATATTAATAAAATTACAAATTTCAATGAAGATCAAAGTTTTTTTCTCGATGGTTTCAATTCAGAACGATTTTCTACAGTATCCCGATGGTGAATCAAATGAATTTTTTAAAGAATATCTTTATTTCTTTCGTTCGTTTTCATAGGCAATCGGACGCCGAAAATCTGAATCTCGAGTCTGACTGTTCAACTCAACAATCATCTTCAAAATCAACCTATCTTATCAATGATTTTCTGTAATTTAATCAATAGTATTCAATTATAAATTAAACAAATATTTGTTCGATTTAGAACCAACAAAAATATAGCTTCATCATCTATAACTGATGCACTAATCTCACCAATGTCTCGTTTATCGACATCATCATCATCGATTATGTCATTTAATAGTATTGGTAATCATAAAACGACTGGTCAACGATCAGTGAGTTATACTAAAAGAAATTCTATTCATTTTCTTATTATCCTTCATATTCTAAATAATATTTTATTTTATAACAATGTAGTCTCGATCAGACTTTAAAAATTCAACAGAACAATTAACAATGTCAAATGGAAATATATTTCCTTCGACATCCTCATTCTTGCCATTACGAACACCATCATCAAATCGTCAAACATTTTCATCCATCGAAAATATTCCATCAACTATAGCAGATAATGATCTTCAACGAGTACCACATTCATGGATGCTCATGTCATCAACACCACCCAGTTATGGTATAGTTCGGATTATTTTTCCTGTAACAAAAGAAATTATTTAAATATTATAGAAACGGGTCCTATTGTTCAACAACAACCACCAATACCACAGCTAGTTCATAGTGCAAATCGGTCGAATTCAATGCCATCTTGGCGTGGTTATTTACCCATGAAATTCGAACCCATGCTAATGGATCAATATCAAATTACAAGTAATTTCTCACAAAAAGTATTTCTTGGTGGTATTCCTGCCGAACTTACTGAAGGTTAGACAAGAATATGTTTTCTTTCATGATCTCTCGTATTTGATGTTTCTTGTTTCTAGCTGAACTTTTACTTATTTTACGAAAATTTGGCAAATGTAATATTAAATGGCCAAAAAATGATGGAATCAATCACAATATGCCTGGTTTGGCTCGTCTTTTTTCTCATTTAATATATAGGCTATTTTAGACAAAACAGAACATATCCACCTCTCATTTGACTTTGATTCCTTACAAGGATCTTTTTTTTTTAAATAAGTTGTTTTAGCGAAGACATGTAAAAATATTGGATCTTTCAGTTGATTATACATTAAAATTAATTAGCAAACAAATTCTGAAACATCAATTTTTGTCTTACCATCATGAACAAATTTTAAAGAAGGATTTGTACTATTTTTGAATTGATTTTATATTTCTCATTCAACTATAAGTATATTTTCCGTTTGTATATCTTTAGTCGGTCATGTCCCTAATGAAAAGTAAAAATCGATTTTTTTTTTGAAAAACCTAACCATGTTCAAAAAAACCTTGGATAGAGATTTTGTAATCTCAGCAATTGAAAGTCGATGTCCTTTGTTTTTGAGTGAAATCGCTAACGCTAGGTTTTTTTAAATGATAACTACAGCTCGTTGGGTTGGTTCAGGGTCTCAAAATTTTGTGCCCAGCGAGCTCTGAACAAAAGTGTCTGGCTGTGATTTTTCACAATATTTAGAGTAGCTAAAGATCTATGTAAAATTTTAAAAAAAGACAGCTCTAGGAAAGTTCATAATTCCGAGATACATGTGTTTTAATTTTTCAAAGTCACATTGTTAACAAATGATTTTGCTCATATAGTTAATATTTGTTTGTTTGTTATATAGGCTTTTGTCATGTAGTATTTCGTGAATCACGTTCTGTGTGTGAACTTCTTAAACATTGTACTCGACAACAACGTTCAACAATTGATTATTTTCTTCATATTCATATGACATCATCATCATCATCATCAATTGATTTATCTATGCGTACAAATCGATTAAAACCAGTATAAACTCTTTTATTAAAATAATTCATGTTTTATGCTATATTTAAATATAGATTCAAATAGTACCATGGAATGTGAGAGATAATGTATATGTCATGCAACAAGTCGTTACATCAAATGGTAATATAGCATTCAAAGATTGGTCACGTACAATATTTGTATCACCACTACATGGTAAAATGACAGCATTTAGTTTAGCTACAATTATGTCAAATGTATTTGGACCAGTATCAATGGCTCAAATTAATACCGATAAATATGGATATCCAACAGGTACTAAACTTCAAAAATAAACAAAAAAGAAACTGATTTGTTTTTAATCAAAACGAAATTATTTAGGTACTGGTACGATATTATTTTCGGATTCACATAGTTATATGCGTGCAGTAGCTGCTGGTGCTATTGATATAAAATGTGATTGTTTTCATAAATTGGTAAATATTTTTGTTTTCATATGTTTTTTTTTTATTCATAATAAATCAATTTTAAGCTTGATATTGATCCATTTTTACGTGAAAATGAACCTTGTACATTTTGTCCAGCAGTGGCTGATTTATTTTGTCGAAATTTTCATTGTTTAAGATCTTATTGTAAACATTGTTGGGTTAATAAACATGGACCAAAACCACTTGCTGATCATCAACCAGCAACACGACGACAACAACCGTTACCTCATACATAAAATTAATTCTTAACCGTATTGAAAACGAAATTATACTCTTTTTGTATTTGTTTTCTTTTTTCTTTTCTATGCAATGTGTGTGTGTGTATGTGTGTTTTGTTTTTTCTTGTTTATTCTCGAAAAGATTTTCTTTTTCATATGTTTGAAACTAATTGTGAAAAGTAGACATTGTGCTTTTCTTATATATGTTTGTACGAATTATTGTTTGATCGTCAAAAAATATTTTGTCGATCGATCTTGTTTTATTTGAACAAATAATTATCATGTTTTTGTTTTTTTATCCCTATTGTATCTTATTGTATAATGATAATTTTGTGAGTAAAACGAAGAGAGTGTTTTATTTTGTGTGTCGTTGTTGCGGTGGTTGAGAGGATTTTGTATTGGTTTTTCTTCGAAAAAAATACATTTTATATGTTAGAAATAAACACATAAGTGTTTAAAAATGCTTGTCTTTCGATTTTTTTTTTGATAAATAATTTTTCATATGCATAACAATGATAATAGTTAAAAAAATATTGAAGATAATTATTCGACTTTAACTATACGATATTGTTCTTTACAAAAACGATCGACAGTTTACTTTTCGGTTGATGATTTGAATTCTATTTATGAATTAATGTTTTCTATAATGATAGAAAGTATAAGCAAGGTGTTACCAAGATTACAATTGAGGTAATTTATTTGTACCATATGTGGTAAGACATGACGTAAATAAGATATTATACTCTTGAAATATAGTCCTAATATTGTGTATCGATTTTTGATGAAAATGATCCTAAACGGCACAAGTTACGTTCTGACTTAAAAAAAATTATATGTAATCTAGGACGACAGACTACGGTCCAAAAAACGATCATCAATTTTCAATATTTACGACAGGTATTACTAGATCGTTTTCGACAATCGAAATGATCGCTATGGGTAAGAGTTCAGGATGAGAGAATAACAAATAATGGCTGTCGTCATAACCATTACAATACTAGTAATAAATACAGAATGATTTCTACTGTGAAAAGTTTGGTCTTCATTTAAATAGATAATATAAAGTTTATGAAAGAATATAGAAAAGCATTTATAAATCATCAATTGACTTTTTTCTAATGTAAATCTTTATTAAAATATAAGTTTTATGTCTAAAGTAAAAAAATTTTACGTTTACAAACAAGTCGCTTCTTCATTAGAATTCTTTATTGAACAATGTAATTGATTTTTGCCACATTTATCCAAAGCATCTTCAATCTTACTTTGAGGATCATATTCTTCACGTAATCGCCAAAGTGCATCAACAAATGTAATAAAATCAAGTGTTTGAAGTCGTTTACCATTAAATATTTTATAATAACTTGTTAATATTTGTATATATTCATCTTGATAAAATTGTTTTAAATGACGAGCATAAACAATCAAAGCTGTACCAGTATGAAATTCATCGACAAGAAGTGTAATTAAATCACTATGAATATGATTATCATTAAACCATTTTCGAATGTCTTCCGAAGTCCAATTTTTTAATGAATTTTCTTCTTCATTCAATTTTGTTGAAGTCACTTTGTTGGATGACTTTTGTATTGCCATAGACTTTTGATCCACAATCAAAACAGACAGAAGTTCATCAAGAGCATTTGTAAAATTTGTTCGTCCGAAATGAACATATTTTTGTCCAGCTATGCGAATTCCAAGCCAACCAGTGGCTTTATACTTTTGATTTGGAGCATATACAGGCACAATACGTTTTTTTAGTGTATCACAAGCATAAGAAAGTTCTTGTCTACATGATTTTGAATCATAATATTCTTGTGATATAATTAAAACAATAACAGTAGCTGTTTCCATAGCACCAGCAATTTCTTCCCAAAGATCATCTGAATGAATAGTATTAAGATGTTCTTGTTTATAATCAACCCAAACAGGTATATGATGAGATAAATGTTCAACAAGTTCACGACAAAATATTGAATCATTATGTGAATAACTAATCATAATATGTGATTGATGTTCAGATTTATCTTTTGATATAGTTAAATGTGAAAAGTTTAAATTCCATAAAATTCCTTCGGCTGCTTTTTTTAAAGAACATACATCATATGGAGTTGTTTTAATTTGTGTATTTGTATATAATAATGATGATGTAGCTAAATTTGATAGTGTATGCATAAGATTTATATTTGATTTTAATTTTTCCTGATAAGATTGATGAAATGATATACTCCATAAAAGGTTAGCTAATGCTATTAATGTTTCATTATTAAGTAGTTGATGAATTCGTGTTATATTACTCGTATTCATTGAATATTGAAGAACTAATTGACATAAACAATCTAATAATTGATTATTTTCATTTAAACATTTTATAAGTATATCATCATTAACAAATAATTTACTTAATGCACATAAAATTTCTGATAAATGACAACATTTATAAGAAAATAAACTATTTTGTGCAGAAGAAATTATAAATGAAGTAATTTGTTCAAGTACATGACACATTAGTCCATCATGTAAGATAGATTTTTGTTTTATTACATCAGCTTCTATAAGTAAAGCATGAGTAATACATTGAATAAAATGAATACATGAATAATCTTCTTCATTATGATCTTTTTTCATTTGTTCATCACTTTCAATTAGAGCGTTAGTACAATTTAATTGATTTAATACTTCAACAGCAATTGAATGTCGAGCAAGTTTTTGTAAAATAAGATTAATTAAAATATCAGTTGCATATGGTGGTCTTGAGCCAGTTTTTTTTAACCATTGAATACATGCATTTGGCCATTCAGAATGAATTATTATTGGTACTAATGTTGGTGTTCTACTAAATACTTTTATTAAACTAAGAATATTATTAATAACTTGAATTCTTTGTTCATATTGCCAATTTTTTGTAGTAAATTCAAGTAAATATGAAAGAAGATTTGATGGTAAATCGGCTTCATTAATTGTAATGAATGGACTTGAATATGCAATAATAGGTAATAAACAATTAATAAGATGATCATATGTATTGTCATGTGTAAAGTAATTTTGTTGAAGTAAAGGAATATAATTATGAAAAGCAACTTCAAGACAATATGAATCTTTAATTGCAAGAAATAAATCCAATAAACAGAAACCACGAAATGTATTAGATAATGCTTCTAAAAACAAATTTGTTTGATAAGAATTTTCATTGTTATCCAATAATTTTTTATCAAAAATTGGAATTATTCGATAGAAATTATCAACAATAGCAAGACCAAATGGTTTATTTTCCGTTAAACCATTTGGTGTTGCATTTTTTAATTGAATAATTAAATGTTCAATTGTATTAGAATATTGATTTACTGTTTGACGTAAAGATAAACTTTTTAAATCATTGATAAAATCATTCGTAACCGTTTGAAAACGTATATCAGTTGAGTCAGCACTCATTGTTTTTTTCTGCATAAATTAATAATCATGCGCGTATCGTATATATAATATTACCTTGCCAATAGAAATTTTTATGCACGTCAATCTTATTTATCACAGAGCAAATAAAGCATGCGAAACTTACATTGACAGTTACTGTGTCATAGTGACGATAGCATAAAGAACGCAATATATTGTGTATATTGAGTTTTCATTGCTTCAAGGTTTGATATTATCGGTTGAATAATCCCCATTTAATGCATATAAAAATACGCACAATGTATAAAAAATAGACATATAGACAATGAAAAATTAGGTAATTAGAATGAGATGTTGAATTTTTTTATTAGCAATAACAACGAATGTATTTTCTATTTCAATTTTATATGAAATAGATTTTAATTGATCAATATAATCATTTATTTCATCATGAATATCAAGTGCAAAATTTTTAAAATTATCCAGAATATGTACGCATAACTGTTTGTAAATTATTTTTGATCTAGAGTTTACGATCGTCATTCGTAATACAGGTGACGTAATTAATTGTTGTTATTGCTTAGTTATTTTTCATATATATATTTGGCTTTGTAATAGTATGTGATGATTATTTATGCTGATGAAGTTCTACTACTATTTATATAAATGATGTATATGTTGCCATCATGGAACACAAAAATTAGGACATTTCCTCGGATTAGTTAAATTCATTACGACTTCCATTATCCTGCATGAATATTATCTAGATCATCACATTAGAATTTTTTGAAATATAGTGCATTATCAAAAAATTTAATTAAATGTAATTGAGTTTTTTATCTTGTTCATCAAGTAGTGCGATAATTTTTACTGTGTGTCAATGTCATAAGATTCAACAACTAAGTCGAGCATGCAATATATTCATTTTAATGATTTTTTTTTTGAATGGGATTTGATTGTTCATTATGCTGTCTTTGGTATCTTATATTTTTTTACTGTACGGGTTTTACTTTCTTGACACATATAACTCGAAATCTTATTTCGTGTCGAGAAAATATACTGATACGAGAGTCGTACGAATTACGTTGAAACATTGTTACTAAGTTCCATGTTCCTGCGTGATCACTTTGTTTCTCGATTCACTCGACAAAATGACAATTTTGTGAAGTGAGAACTGTTTTCTTTTGAGATAATGAAAACAAGTTTCACTGGCAACAATAAATGTTCATAAGATAGAATGTTGTGGCCATTTTCGAAGTTTTCGTCATATCGAAGATTGATAATTGCAATTTAACATGTATTCGTAAGTCTCGTATTTTAGACAAAACTGAAATCATTATGACTACACTTGAATATAATTCATTTATTTTTCTTTCCGGTTGATCAAATTTACTTAGAGCTGTTGAAGGGGCCCACAGTGTTAGATAAGCATTTGTCTATTTTTTCATTGATTAGACGAAAATCACGTCATAGTTTATTAGTTTCAAAGAGTGTTTAAGAATTGATTGTGAATTTTCCCCGTTATCATCATAGACTTAAAATTTCTTAATATGATCGTCGGTAAGAGCATAGATAAAATTCGAAATAATTCAATAAAATGAGATTCACTGTTCGAATCTCTAAAAAAATAACTCGGTTTTTCACCAAACCTCAAAAGATTCTTCGAGTCGATATTAACTGAAAACGTATTTTGGTAAAGTACAAAAAAAAGTTTCTCATCAACTCCTACGTCAATAACATTAGCCTTATCTACTTACTCCTATATCTTTATTTTTATATACATCAACCCTTATTCCTATAGTTAATCCCTACTAATAGTTTTCATTTTTCGAAATCAAAAAGATTTTTAAAGCCAAATACGAACCTTCTAAAATTCAATAGTAAGCATTTTTTTAGAGTACAGCAAAGAATACCAACATAGTATATAAATTCAAGTCACTTTATTTCAGTTTTTTTTTATTGATAAAGCATTACGCATACCTTGAACAAAAAAGAAAAAGTTGACAACAACAACAGTTGCTGCTATCATGGCATGTGAATATAAGAGAATAAGACCACGGCAGTCTCCTTATTTTTGTATGATGCAGAAAGTTTTGTTCGTCTGGCTCGACAATAGTATCAATCCAGAAAATAACCAGGATTGCAAGCAAACAATTTCAAAATTAAAAAAAGTAGTCATCAAGGTTAATATATTCACGAATGTCGATGAATATATTAATTTTATTAGTGATCTCAAACAATTCAGGTCAATACAATTTATATTTTTTGTGAAAATCAAGCTCGGCATGAGCAATGAGCTTAACACTGACCAACAATACAAAGGGTCTTTATAGATATTGCTTCTATCTGTAAAGACTTTCAACAAGTGGTACAAAAATGTGATCAAAACATGATTTCGATCAGTTTTGCCATCATCAGTAATGAAAGCAGTGAGTTAAATCTCAACGAATTAGATTCTTCATTTATATACACCCAAATAATAAAAAAATTTTTATTAACTAGGCATTTTGAACAACACCATGCCGATGAATTTCTTACATACTGTCGTGAAGTTTTCGCCGACAATCCGATAGAACTTTAACATGTCAAAAAAGTTGAATAAGAATATCACAAGCAATCTTTTGGTGTTCGATACTCAACTGATCATTGCAAATGATGGAGGTTGGTCTCATCATTAGAATGGAATTTTTTATTCGAGATCTTCACTACCACATAGCTCAGCTTCATGCTTAACTTCATTTACTGCTTATCGTGATCAAAGACTATCGAAAGTCAATATTGATCAAAACCAAAGGTGGACTTTTATCGTTCAATAATTTCCTATTGACTATTATGCATTATCAAGTACCTGTCAACTTTGCTCGTCAAACTGTGGAGTCGTCCGATCTAGTTGATATGTTATTCGTCATGAAAATTGATCCGTCAACACCATTTACTAACATTGGTGGTATGAGTCATATTAAAGGAGAAGAAGAAGAAATTCTCTTCTCTATGCACTTCATTTTTTGTATTGAACCAATGCAACACATCGATGGAAATGATCGTCTTTGGCAAGTTGATTTACCACTGGCCAGTGACAATGATCTAGAAATCCATGCACTTACTGAACAAATCGCTTACAGAGACCTATTCTCAGAAAAAAAGATGGGATCGTTTAGGTAACTTGTTGATTAAACAGCAACTGAGCATGAAAAACTATTAATTTATCATATGCTCGGATGGATGAATGAGGATCAAGTTGAATCTGTAGATGCCATCGTCTCCTATCAACAATCCATTGAAATCAAACAGAAGATTCTCTCACCAACAGACACTAATTTAGCTGCTTCTTACACCGGCATTGTTCTAGTGTATATCAATATGGGTGATTATTCAAATGCACTATCATGTCATTAAGAAGTACTGGAAATTTGGCAAAAAACTCTTCCTTCAAATCATCCTCATTTGACTAATGCTTACAGCAACATTGGTTCGGTATATTCCAAGATAGGTGGCTATTTGGATGCAGTTTCATTTCATGAACATACTGTTGAAATAGGACAGTGTTCACTACCAGAAAATCATCACGATTTTCTTCAACTATAAAAAAAATAATCTTGAAAGTTCAAAAAAAGAAAATGTGATTGATTTTTGTTTTGTTCAAAAAAATAAATATCATGAAGAAAAAAAGAGTATTTTTTATTTATTTTTATATGAAGAGATTTTTGTTACAATAGTTTTCATGCTCAGACACTCATGTTTACAAAATCTCTGATGAATATCAATATAAGGGCAAAAAATATTATGAATACAGTGATTTCTTATTTTATCCATCATGGAGCTGTAGGAGAGTTGAGAAAGGATTCGTATTTCTCAGTCATCGAACACTTCTCTGAAGGCAATGATCTTATATACGACTTGAGAAAATTATTTTTCTTTTTTCTTTCAAGAGAAATTTGTAGTTGATTGATTTGTTTATTCATATGTAGACGAATATGGCTATTAGTTATTTACTTAACGTGAGAGAAAAAAAGCAAATAGTTAAGTAGTGAAAAAGAAAAATATTAGTGCAGTCGTATATTAGAGACACATGAAAGAGTTAAGAGACGAAGCACACATTTGATTGTGTCCATATTAAATGATTTCAATGTTGTATCAATCCGTACAATAACGAACATTGTTGAGAAAAATGTAAAAAAGTAAGCATATAGCTTGACCCGTTTTTCTATGATGTAAATTTGAGAACTTCAAAATTGTATTTTGACTTCTTGTTTTGTCTTTGTAATTTCTTTTTGAACGGAAGTGAAACTTTACCAGTTTTTTTTCCTTTTCTTTGGTACGACTTTCAGAAAAGTTTAAAAATGACTTTTCATTGTCTATAAAAACGCTAATACTCTGTATGAACAATATTTTCTAGAGGTTACCTATAACAAGTCAATAAATGAAAATTTAATAGGAAAAAAAATCAAAATATCAATTTTATTTGTGATTACTGTTACGCGTACATCATGGATGTCTTCACTAATTTTTTAAAAACTTTCCAATCGTTTCTTCAAATAAATTGTATTTTCACTCAGTTTTGAATATATAACAATAGAAACTTCTCAAACATATTTGCTATTATTTGACGTAATTCCTATATTCATTCAATAGTTTTCTATATACTGTAAAGTCCAATATTCTCCATTTCATTCATATCAATAGTTTTTTTCCGATTCATTTCTCTTGAAACTCTATATCTTCTAAGATATTTTGAATCTTTATTTTTCGATTTATCTGATTGTTATATTAATTCGCTACCAGTTTTTGATTCATTTTGTACAATAATTTTCTGCAAAAACAATCAACAATTAACATTATTACAAAAAAAAACTAAAACAATCTTTTGTACAAATGTATAAAGTTACAATAAATGATTTTTGTTTATGTCTACAATGTTGCGCAAGAATTAATATTACAAAAATAATCATTCGCTCATGACCAACAAAAACGAAGGGGCCAAAAGTATTTATTAATATGCTATGTCAATTCGACACAAGCATTCATTTCCTTTTCAATAAACATGTTTATTATTAATCTAACTATTCATTGTGATGAATGTAAAAAAAAAAGTAATGAATCGGAAGAAAGGATTTATAGTAAAACCTCACTATGTAAGCATCTCTTTATTGTGCGAGCACTATAGGTGCTTATTTCTGATGCTGTAAGCAATAACAACCCCTTTACTCTGAGCAACGTATATGTTCTATCATTAACAGGCAGGACGACAAAAAAACCCGACGTTATGTATTGTTGAGTTATAATAAAAAATCATAGAATGCATATAAAACGCGGATGGACTAAACGTGCATTTTAAAACAGAAACAAAGCACTATTAGACAATAGCAACAATGCTTGGTGTAATATGTCGTCATATTTTTGTGAACAGCTACGTAATAATATCAAATCATGTCAATACGTATTAATTGACCTCTCATTAAAAACCTTGAATTTATATAAATCGCTAAAAAGAAGAAAAAGAAACTGTAAACTTCTCAATAATGAACACTTTTGGTCAATCCCAATGGTACCCCTACTTGAGAGATTTTACTGTATATGAGCACGAATCTTGTTACCCTCTTTTATAAACGAATTTTTTTAAATATCATTTTGAACCGAAAGCATGAAGGTTGAAAAAGATTGTGGAATTAAAAACTACTTTATAAATATGATCATGAGATTCGATCATTAGCATTGTTTATGACGAATATTACGTGTTGTTTTTCATATAATTATTCCAGCAAAAAAAGAATGAACCTTAACTTTTGAAAGACATTTCAAACCTAAAATTATTGTTTTGTTTTGCTAATCAAAATGAATTATTCGAATAAATTCATTTACTTCTAAGAACGCGTCCGTAGTTTTCAATGATTCAATATTCGTAGCTGAAAATTTGGAAACTATTTGTCAGCTTTTCTTGTTGTTTGAAAAGCTAAAAATTATCAAGCAGATCAATGCATGTTATTCTTCTATTTAGACTGCCTATACGAACACCAATCAAAAGTTTCGTTATAGTCGATCGTCACAATATCCGTCGGATGCAAACGTTCCAGTTCACCTATACCGTCCGCTTGTTTTATTCTATTTCGTTTCCATTGCCTAGTCTAAATGCAATCAATAGACTAAGCCAAATAAAACTGTCAGCATTTAAAGGAACGTTCTAAACAGTTCAATACATAGTTTGCAAGACATTTCTTACAAAGTTCAATCATGACAGGTGAGAAATACGTTTTATATTAGTCAAGTTGTTTTCTTAAACTTATTGTGTTTTTTTTTACTCATTGGAGAAATACATATACCCATTGAATCTTATCCTAAAGAAGAATTACACACAACAGCACGTACTAGAGAAGAATATATTATATGAAAGATTGTAATTGAAGAATAGCCTTTTAATACAACCGATAATATATAGTATTATAATCTCACTAGTGAATATTAAAAGTTAGTGGTAAAGCTCTCTCGAGACACATGACATTATTTCTATTGTAGGAGAGAAAAATATACCTTCTACTCAACTTCGAATGAGACTGACGAGGGAACATTTCTAAGTTTCAAGTTGAGTTCAAACAAATAGCTTATTACTGCCAAGATATTGTATTTTTCAGTAGAATGCTGCAATCCCTCTCGCGAACACTCAGTTTCAAATTTTGATTTGAAATTCTACATAAAGGCAGGTCTTAATGAGAATAGTTTATTGTAAAAGTTTCAGATCTTTTAGTTACTTCTATCCTAGAAAATTTTCAAAACAATTACAATAAACTATTCTTGTTAAGATTTCTCTCTGTAGAAAGTTTCAAGTCAAAATTCAAAACTCAGATTTCATTGATTCATCAATAGATGGCGCTTGTTTAAAAACGATGATTTCTATTGGTTAATCAAACACCATCGCTTTGTTTTCTGTAATTTGACCCGAACGGACAGTCATTCAGCCGTCTGACTAAACTTAATCACATGGTTCATACATATCAATATGATTGTTATAATAAAAAAAATGTATTTATTTTTAGATTGTGTAACAATGCCATCTTATCCAAGTCCAATACCAGCACCTATATTTGATTCTGATGAATCTGATGTAGCCAGTCAACAATCCAATGACAGTAGTAATTATTTATCATCACAATTTAATCAATATACACGTTTATCATTTTCACCACAATTAAATTTAAATACAACAAGTCAAATATTACCATTATCAATAAATTTTGATGATAATCAAGATAATTTTATATATAATAATTCCATAAACATAGAATCAACACCAAAAAAAATTTCGAATTCAACAAGTAAAAAACGTAAACGTACAAGTGATATATTTGAATATCAAACACCAAATCAATCACCATATACAAGACGTAAAAATCTTGATTATACACAACAAATAACAATTCAAACACCTAAAATTCAACGTCGTTCACGTTATAATCAAACACCAAATACTACTACTACTACGAATAATAATAATAATTCATCAATAACATTTACCAATCTTATTAATTTAAATCCATTTAAAACCAAACATCATTATTATACACGTCTTGTTGCTAAAAATCAATCATTATTAATACCATCATTAAGAAATTTATTTATTCAACGATATGAACAAGAATTTCATTATGAATCATGTCTTGGTTATGGTGAATTTTCACATGTTTATTTATGTACAAATCGTCTTGATGGTTTAAATTATGCTATAAAAATTTCTAAAAATTCTCTTATTGGTACATGTCATGAACAACAAGCATGGCGTGAAATATGTGCATATGCTAGTTTAACAACACATGACAATTTAATACGTTATTATTCAGCATGGATTGAAACAGATGGAAGATTTTTTTTACAATTAGAATATTGTAATGGTGAATCATTAGAAGATTTAATTGAAAAAAATCGTCAGGAAAAAAAATTTCTTAATGATGATATATTAAAAAATATTCTTCATCAATTATCTGATGTATTAACATTTATGCATGGAAATGATTTAGCACATTTAGATATTAAACCATCAAATATAATGTTATGTTATCATACAGATAAAGAAATTATTTATAAATTAACAGATTTAGGACATGTTAGTCAAATAAGTTTATGTACAATTGATAATGATGGTGATTGTCGTTATTTAGCATTAGAAATATTACAAAAATCACATACAAATAATATGTATTTAGATAAATGTGATATTTTTTCATTAGGTTTAACATTATATGTTTGTGCAACAAATTATATTATGCCAAAACAAGGTAATGAATGGCAACAATTACGATTAAATATTTCACAATATTTATATTCAATTACACAATGTTCAACAAAATTTAATGAACTTATAATTGAACGTATGTGTAATATTGATCCTAAACGACGACCATCTGCTTATGAAGTAAGTTAAATGAAAAATATTTTAAATATGACGAATACATAAGTTCGATTTTATATGATGAATGCAATAGATTCATTGAGTTGACCTAAAGGATATAAATGTATGCGAAGGAAAAGGTTAATTATATTATCAAAAGTCGGAACTTACTACATTGATGTTGAATTATTTATTTAACCAAGGCTTTGCATGATTATATTTGTAATCTCACGAGAATTGCTTTCGTGACAAAACTATGTGCGTCATGTAGATTCTAATGAACAACAAATATTCCCGAAAGAGTTCAGATCCTTAGTTGATTGCTACAAAGATATTGGATTTTGACGTTATTTTTATAAATGAATGCCATAGTCTTCATCAGATAGTTAAACAAAGTAAAAGAGAAATCGATTTATTTAACATACAGAAATCTAATAAAGTAACTGTAGACGAACGTGTTGATGCACACAGAGAGATTTCAATGTTTATAGATAATATTAATATGTGGAAAAAAGTTTCTCTAAATATATCACATTAATTTATTGAATTATCACTGAAATATAGTGCTACACAAGGATAGGTCTGTTAATGTCACGACCTCCTTCCCTTCCTGAATTATGAAGCACAAAGCCGAAAAAAAAAAACTGGCACCATTCATTATAACTCAATACTGTCTCAAATAAGTCGATGTGGGTGGTATTTTCTTTTATAGTGCATGAGAAAGGAAGAATGACCTTGTCTTGCGATAGATTCAATATTTCTATTTTTTTTTTCTGTTTAGTTATTACTTGATCCTCTTGTTAATCCAGCAACACCAACAAGTCGTGAATATCTACGGTATGTTTTAATTAATTAGAAAAAAAGACAATAATAATTTTTTTTTTCTTTGTCTTTAGACATAGTTTAAAACAAGAACGTAAAAAAAATTTATTACTAAATAAAAAGTTACTTGGTCAATATCTTATAACTAATACATCAGATCTTCAAACATTACCTACATATAATAATGATATGAATAATAGTGATATACAATTACAACAAAGTTTTCATTCACCAAAACAATCAATTATTGTACCACAACATCAACATATATTAACACCAAATAATAATTCACGAATATTATTAGTTAATACACCCGGTTGTTCGACAAGTATTAATCAATCAATTGCATCACCTGTACCTTGTTCAACAATAGCAATGAAACAACAAGTCAAATTTGCCGGTTCAAGTTCGTTTCGTAATTGTTATTCCAATCTCATTTAATTACAAAAAGAAAATTCCTCACATATATGATTAATAGCCATATATAACATTGTAATATAATCATCATAATAAGGAAACATTTTGTAATTTTCCTTTTCAAATTATGTAATAGTAAAAGTGTTTCTACACATAGATCTTTTTTTTCTTCTTCTCCATCTCATGTCTAGTCCTAATCATTGTATCTATATGTGATTTTCTTCAAAATACAAAAAAAAAAAACATATACATTGAGTAAATATAATCGTTGATACTATTGTTAATAAGTTTGATTTTCTACTTTCTTTTTGTTAATTATAAAGATGTATAATTGATATTTTCGTGTAACCTGTTTTTTTTTTGCTCTTTGTTTCTGGCCATTAAGTTGTTTGATTATCAATCATTAGATATATTAATGTATTGATTTTGTTTTTTTTTTTTTGTATTTTTCTTGCATTCGGTTAACACGTGTTTTTTTGTTCAAAATATTCATATGATAGTAATGATACTTTGAAAAATAAGATTTTTTTTTTTTTATATATTTTTGAAGATGAACGTGACGCAGATGATTTAGAGTTAGTTAGTAGTGCATTTTCTTTTGTTTTCTTTGTATGTCATAGTATATTTCTATCTCATCAACATTTTTGATTATATCTAGTTTTCTTTTTTTTATTTAATCAAATGAAATGAAACAAGACTTTATCTTATTTTTAGGTAATAACAAAAGATCATGACAAGTCTTAGTCTTTGGATAATTGGTCTGATTTCTATCATCATAGTAATCTATTTATTTGCTGAATATTTTCTCAATGAAAAACAAATACATACAATCAAATATATACTATATGTTACTGTTGTTATGTTATTATCAATAATACTCATACCGGTATTTCTTATTCGACCACGTAGTGTATTAAATATACGTCTAGCTTCACGAATTATGAATCCTATATTTAATTTATTGGGTATAAAATATCGTATTGAAAATGGTCAAGTGTTAGATAAAGATGAACCTTGTGTTATTGTTGCAAATCATCAATCATCTATAGATTTTATTGGAATGATGCAACTTTGGCCTGAACATATTCGATATTGTACAATTTTAGCAAAAAAAGAATTATTTTGGGCTCTACCATTTGGTTTTACAGCATGGTTAGCCGGTGTTGAATATGTTGATAGAAAAAGTCGCGAACGATCAAGTGAAACAATGCGTAATTTGACGAAGAAAGTACAAGATAAATCATTAAGATTATGGGTCTTTCCTGAAGGTAAATATTAAAATAAAATTAAAACAAAAAGTTAAATTTTTTTTTTCACTAGGAACACGAAATATGAATGATATATTTCTTCCATTTAAATTTGGTGCTTTTCGTCTAGCTATTGAAGCCCAAGTTCCTATTGTACCCATTGTTTTTTCATCTTATAAATCACTCTACAATGCCGATAATGAAAAGAAAAGTTATTTTTGGCGTCGAGGTTATGTTACAATTAAATGTCTTGAACCAATCGATACTAAAGGTATGACAATTGAAAATGATCTTCAACGATTAACTGAAATGACTCGACAACGAATGATTAATGCTTATAAAACAATGCAAACAACTATTAATAATGATGATAAAAAAAATAATTAATAAATAGATAATTGAGAATGTTTATGTATGCATCTGTGTTTTTTTTTCAGTCATGAAAAGTCAATCAAATAATGAACGATTTTTTTTTGCTTTCTTTTTTATTTTTATCTTTGTACTTGTATAGTTTTTCTCTGTATAAAAAAACGAACAAGTATTCAATAATTTTCCTTGCACTACTTTGTGTGTTTATGTAATTCATTTAATATAAATTAAACTGCATCTATATATTTTTTATTATATCGTTGGTAATAATCTTATATCAATAAAAACATGAACAAGCTAAAAATTGTTAATTTTAAGAAAGAAATGATATGAAGAGATATATTGTTCTATTCCATCTATTTTGAGACACATTTTTTCATCGTCCTTTTACTTAATATCTCTTGAAATTCAATAAGAAAGTAGTATTATATTATAACGAGAAGTAATTGATATACAGTTTGTGATCGTATATCAATAACATCTATCACACTGTGTGTGTGTAAGAGAGAGGGAGGAGGCGTTCAAGTTTTTACCTCTATACTTCATCACTAGTTTTAGATCATGTTCTAACAATAGATGAAATAACATCAGAGATTCGTAATGAAATTATTATATACGAAGTCAATATTAATTAGCATAGAATAAGATCTAAGATGATAAGACACACATGAGAATATGTTACTAATGCAGCATGAGCCATCAAAGATTGAACCAAAGTCAATAGAGTTACGATTTCATATTATAGAAATATACAACCAAAGATGTTGATTGGACTGATCATTCGATCAAAAATTGATTAAATAAGGTTTCTAAAAATGACTTCAAGAATACTTTCGAAATTACCAACAACGTGAGAATCAATGTGCAAATTCAATAATTTGGATGACAGCTAATAGAGCAAAGCTAATGATCTATTAATCAAGAAGAGTTAGAAATGACAGTTTGAGGCATAAATTTGACCTTAGTGCATTAAGATACAGAATTTGTCTGAAATTACATAGCCAATACCTATCGAAACCCTCGAAGTTGTAGAAAAACTATTTAAAATTTTGTTTTGTTTTTAATACTAATGAATTTTGATTTATAGATCTATTTAAAAAAAGAACAAACCTTGACAGTGATAGTTTTAAAGATTACAAACTTTTATATTTGAAGATCAATATTTTGAGAAAAAAAAAGAAATTGAATGGTTATTTCAAAATATTATATGATGATGTTACAGTTATTTGGTCTTTATCTTGATGATTGATTATCATCGTTTATATTGCCTTTTGATTTCATTACAAGTATCGTTCATGACTCATAAAGAACAAGACGAAAAATAAATTGCTTAATACTACCATATTGTGGTGCAAGATGGTTTGTATAAATTTAGCGAAGGCTCACTGTAACATTTAATACACGGTAATAATGTCAATAAGTGTTCTGTTTAGATTGATTAGAAAATAATCTAAAGTAAAATATTTTATATTTACAGATGAGTAAAAAAGAAAAGAAACTTGGTCAGTTGGTGCATAACAGTGAAGCAACAGCGTCAACACAAGAAAATGTTACTGAAATCAAGTAATATATATATATGTATTAAGTTTCTCATCTGACATATTTTAAGAGAAAATAATTTAAAAAAAAATATCTGTTGACTATCGATGTACTATTTCTTTCTAATCTGTATTGCAAAGATCAACAACTTCGACATTGACAACATCGTCATCGATTATTAAAGGTGTATGTGATGATAGTTTACTTAATGGAACATGTGAAAATTTGAATTGTAATCAATTACATCTTACGGAATCCATTCAACTTACTGATGGTCATTTTCATGATCGATTACTTAAAGAAAATTGGTCATGTACTATTGAACCATTGGAAAATATCGAGCAGTTTATTGGTATTACCAACGTTCACAAATCTTCTATGTGGAATAATGCTCTATCAATCGTATCTGAATCTCTAAAATCGAAAGTATGCTTCAAATATATGAAATCTTAACATTCTAATCGCAAGTGTAACTCACAAAGAAAAGTTGTAGGAGGGCTCAAAGTCTTCGTCTGATTATGTCAGTAACTCCTGTTGTAAGACATCATTTAATTAACAGGGAAAGCTTTACCAGTGTGATTAAACTAACAAACTGGTATTTTGTCTATAAGTAGTCTCTGATGAGACTAGTAAAAACCTATACGAATTCACCCTTTCCAAGTCATTACACTCTTTCTTTTTTCTTTTTATCTTACAGATTCGTCTTTATGAATCATATGGTATTCATCCACGTTATTTGGATAATGATCCATATAATGATTTACTTAATCTTCGTGATCTTATACAAACACGTCCAATGATTGCTGTTGGTGAATGTGGCCTTGATTTACTTAACAATGAACAATTATCATTACAGACTGAAATATTTGTATCACAAATCAAATTAGCTAATGAATTTCATTTACCACTTATTATTCATTGTCGTCAATTAGATCAACAACTATTTGATATTCTTAAAAAGTATGCAATAGATTCATCAATGAAAATTCAATGGCATTGTTGTCATTCGAAAGGTGCATCAATTTATCGTGAATTTCTGAATTATTTTCCATCAAGTTTATTAAGTATTGGTGGCATGTGTTGTCATACAGGTGAAAAAAATATACAAAAATTAATAAGAGAACTATATGAATCAGAAAATAATGAAAATCAACGAAGATTTGTATTTGAAACTGATTCACCTTATCTAAAGCCATCATCATTATTAATTAATACAGAAGATAATTGTCCAATATTAGGAACATTAACAGTGAGTGCTTATGTAACAAAAAATATTTTGAAAAATGATCGATGGACAAATAATTTAAAAATAAATACAATTATTCTTCAGCAGTTTTTTAATTTAACTTAAATTTGTCTTTTTCGATGTCATTTGTTTTCGCAAAAAAAGCGTGATATTTTTATTTTAATAAATATATCTAAATTGATTAACGATCATTGTTCTATTCGTTTTGAAAACTCGATTGCAATATTCAGATTTTTATGTGGGTGTGGGTGTGGGTGTGGGTGGGGTGTGGGTGTGGGTGTGGGTGTGGGTGGGGTGTGGGTAGTATGGGTGTGGGTGTGGGTGTGGGTGTGGGTGGGGTGTGGGTAGTATGGGTGTGGGTGTAGATGTGGATGTCTTTTTATCTTATCGAATCAACGAACACATCGATACCCAGCCTACACCCCGATTTGGTTTGCTTTACTTTGGAATGAATTAACAATGATTGCAGATATCACTTGACAAATGATCATTGACCCACCTCAAAGATGAAGATTTTTGCAATCAAGAATTTCAATTGTTCCACTTATTTGCTGGTCTCTGAAAAGGATTCTACTTGAAATAATTGTTTTGTTTCTACTTACTAAAATGTTTCCGATTGATCT